CTTTTAATACATATCATGTTGCCATTATTTTGTTAATAGTTTTTATTTGTATGTTAATATTAGATATTTTTGTACCCATAGTTACATCAGTAACATAGATGGAAGGGTATGTATGCCATTAAGTTTGACTTTAAAAATGCTGTGACAAATCAAGATATTTTTTAAACAGGAAATCAAATTAAAGATTCTCCTTCACTTCAGTCTGTATTTGTTTTGTTTTGTTATTTGGGGGGGGGGGGTGGTGTAGAAGTAGTTCATGAAAATATCTATGATCAAGGTTCTGTGCTGTTATCACTGTAGTGTTTTTTCCAGTATCTATAACTTCGCTCCACAAATGTGATGATTGCAAATATTATGTATATTCTGAATCAAATCTAGCCATTTCTTTTCAAGTCTTGTCTGAACTCCAGTGACCTTAACTGGGATTCAGTTTATATTTGCACTATACTGTGAATTTAATTCAAATTATGAAATCCGTAATTAGATAACAGTGCTTTAAACTGCCCTCGCTTTACCTAGAAATGCATCCCAGTTAGGTAGAATACTAGTTAAATAATTTTCAAAGTGTAGGTGGGTGGTCATGTCCTCTGTATTTGATGGCTCAAGTTATTCATTGACACCAGTTCCTTGTTCTGGGAATGTACGGGGTTTCCAAATTAATATTTTAAAGAAACACTGGGTAATTATTAACCTGCAACTTGGGGGTGATTAAGTTAAATCATTCTTAGTTTGTACACAATGGTTTGTAGTGTTCAAATATTTACCTACAAATACTTATGAATTTAGCAAGTACTGTGAAAGCATTCATTTTCACTGGTATTAAATTTTACTATTTTATTTGGTCAATCAATTGGTTCAATTGCAGTTTTACATAATGTTTATATCAGTGAGTTTGGCAAATAGTTGATGCTTTTACAGTATCACAATAACAGTCAAATGTTGAATAATATTTCTGTAATTTATAGTGTTTGTGCTGTAATTAGTTCAGCTACATAATTTATGTAGTTGCCTGATTTGCAACGAAGGGTTTGTGTCATAAAGCTATTATACATCAGCATTGCTTGGTGAAGCATAGAGGACTGGAAGGTATGGCAGACCCTTGAAAAAAATGTACCATAATAATTAATCATGTAATCTGTATTGGGAGGTAACTAACACGCACATGGAATTCCAATCAGTAATTTGTACATGGTAGCCGTGTGAAGAGTTGCTGATATTGTGGAATTTCTACTAAACTTTGTTCTTCATCAATGCACATTCTCATCTATTGTATTATGGATGTCAAGCACACATTTATCAACAATCATGTCATTGTATCGTTTATTTTTTGAGGAAGTCAATAAAAAAATCTTTAAATTATTCAAAGTTTCCTGAATGGTTTATGTTGCATGCCTATACTGGGTACAACTGACAAATACTTTATTTTAGCTAGAATTAATTATCGCTGAAAAGAGTTTGTGGGTGTCTTGTATGGAATTTATTTTCACTGATTTTTGATGAGTTGAATGTATCATTCCTTCAGCGAAAATAAAGTATTTTACAGTATAGAGAGAATCTCAATTTCATGACCATGTGATATTGGATTTATTAAACAAGTATCTGTAGTAATTTTCCCATGTTCAAAGTTATTGGCCCAGAATTGTATTAGAATTTAAACATTTCCACTTGTGTTCATACGGAGATTGTAAACATCCACACTTGTACTTGTAATGTGATTGCAAACATCCACACTTGTTTTCATGTGTAGATTTTTAACTTCCACACTTGTGTTCGTATGGAGGTATTAAACTTCCACACTTGTGTTTATATGAGATTGTAAATGTCCACCCTTGTTTTCGTGTGGTGATTGTAAACGTCTACACTTGTGTATGGAGATTGTGAATGTTCACACTTGTATTCATGTTAAGACTTCTAACTTCCACTTGTATGGAGATTGTAAACATCCACACTTTTTATTCATATGGAGATTGTATTCCACACTTGTACTCCTATGGAGATTGTAAACATTCACACGTATTCGTGTAGTGGTTGTTAATGTTAACACTTGCATTCAACTCGAGATTCTAAATAGCCACACTTGTATTAGTGTGGAGATTTGAATAAAAGTGTGTCTGTTTGAAATCTCGAATTGAATACAAGTGTGTCTGTTTACACTCTCGAATTGAATACAAGTATGTCAGTTTACACTCTCGAATTGAATACAAGTGTGTCTGTTTACACTCGAATTGAATACAAGTGTGTCTGTTTACAATTTCAAATTGAATACAAGTATGTCTGTTTACACTCGAATTGTATACAAGTGTGTCTGTTTACACTCTCGAATTGAATACAAGTGTGTCTGTTTACAATTTCGAATTGAATACAAGTGTGTCTGTTTACAATTTCGAATTGAATACAAGTATGTCAGTTTACACTCTCGAATTGAATACAAGTGTCTGTTTACACTCGAATTGAATACAAGTGTGTCTGTTTACAATTTCAAATTGAATACAAGTATGTCTGTTTACACTCGAATTGTATACAAGTGTGTCTGTTTACACTCGAATTAAATACAAGTGTGTCTGTTTACAATTTCGAATTGAATACAAGTATGTCTGTTTACACTCTCGAATTGAATACAAGTGTGTCTGTTTACACTCTCGAATTGAATACAAGTGTATGTTTACATTCTCGAATTGAATACAAGTGTGTCTGTTTATAATTTCGAATTGAATACAAGTGTCTCTGTTTACATTCTCGAATTGAATACAAGTGTGTCTGTTTATAATTTCGAATTGAATACAAGTGTGTCTGTTTACAATCTATAATTGTGACTGTTCTAGATTATAAACAGCAACACTTGTATTCATATCACGATTATAAATGAACACACTTGTTATCATAAGGAGATTTTAAATGCTCACACGTGTGTTCATGTTGAGATTATGAACTTCACACTTGTACTCATATGCAGACTGTAAATAAACTATATTCGAACACTGATTGTAAATCTCATTAATGTTTTGACATTCTATATTTATATTCATGTATATACATTAAAAATATAAAATTGAAGATGAATTACCACACCATCAGGCTACTATGCCCCGTAAGTCAAAGTGATCGATTCTTTATTGGCCTACATAGTCAAGCACAGAATATAATTAACATCTTTCACGTTTGAAATACTAGTAATATTCAATACAATCATTAAGGTATAGCTTTATTAATATCCTACGAGTTACATAGTGTTATCCCCGCCACATTCCACCAACAATGGTATACCGAAAATGATGTTAACATTGAACGAATTGAGATGGCCCATGCCAAGTTTGAATAGTTATGTCAAATATGACGTAGTTTATCAATGATATTCCTGTATAAATACTCATCTTACTTAAATGTACGATACTAGTATATTATAGTGTAGAATGCAATTCAGAAATAATAGTTTAAGAAATTTGTAATTTTCTACTTTTTCACGAAAAAAAAAAATTTATTCACATTATTGGTCTTTCACTTGCTATATCACGTTGTTTCTTTGTAATTATGCAAATTAGGTATTGGTCATCCTAATTGTTTTCAATATTAACATCCTAAAGATAATCTAACAATGTCGGTGTCGTGTCAGAGAGGGGCTTTTGTTCGCTAACACTATGTAGCAAATGGCTATAATTAAGATTTAAAACATTTCATGAAGTCTTGGATATAATAAACAATTAAAACCGGTTGTGGGTAATGTGTTTTCAACTACAAAACAATCTTAGATGGACGCAACTAAAAGCAACAAATTTATTATATTGAACCAATTGTGGAATTATATAAATATTAAAAGATTTGTGTGATCATAATAGGCATCAGTCGGCTAGATTTCATGAGATTACAATACACAGTTAAGTTTTTAATTAATTTAATTAATTTTGTGGTCCAATGTAAGTGAATTGTGTACTGAATATTCATTTTAGTCAGGGAAACCGGCATGGGCATGGGGAGAAAAACAATGACCATCAGTCAGCCATGTTGAGCTTTAAGTATAACGTTTTAGACTTATCATTTTGTGCTAGTATGTCTGTCTGTCTGTTTGTCCAGTGTTTGAACACAATTAGATGTTAGAACGCATTTGACAAAATTGTCTCCAGTACGAATAAATAAAAGCGGCAATAGCCGAAAATATTTTTGTTTAAATATAACCACATAAAAATGAAATACACAACCGACACAAGGCTCATGTCAGAAAAAATGCAATGTGAAAACTCATGGTCGAGTAATCGTCCATTTCCTTGAAATCAGTCACGTTCACGCGAAGGGGGATAAAATCATCAGTGAGACAAATTCACCTTTCAAAATTTATTTGACATATTGTACCGTAAATCGTGGTTTGCTTGACAAAAATGGATTTCAATAGATGGGGCTTAATCCCATGGTCACCTTTTTCATTTGCAAGTGATTAAAATGTATATCGTTGGTATACAGCGTATATGCTATGCTTTCAGAGTTCAGTGTTCGGCGATGGTCATTACAAATTGGCATAGACCAGATGCCATCTATTACCACAGGAATATACAGGAATATACAAAAATGAATTGGTCTGGAGGGGTGTGGGCTGGCCTTACGTACGAGTCAGTCCACGCATATTTATTCCAATAATTATGTACTGAGAAGTCATGGGAGAATTCTGTGCCGTCTAAGTATAGCGATTCACCAGTCCATTCTTGAGCGCACTCGGAAGGACGCTCTGAACGGCTAGATGTCAGGCTAAAATTGGCACTATATGACAAAGGAAATGTTATATTTTAATTATTGTGATGCCTGGGAGGGGTGAATCTGGGTCACACACTAGCGGAAAGGTGCTGCATTTATGGGGTATATTTTATGTCCTGGGGCAGCAGGACACTCTTGATTATCTAGGTAGTACAAAACTGTCTGAAGCAACTGGCATGTCTAATGTAAAACGCATTTTTTGAAAGAATTCATTTGTGACAACCTAGTATGGACATTCAATAACAGACATATTCGTGTGTCTATTCTGTACTCTGATTCCGCCTTTCATCTTCAAATAAAAAACGAGTCTCTCCGTGTTTAACAGTGAAGAATTCGTCATCGGATAGTTGCCTTTCTTCTAGAGCCTCTCTCAGGTTCTGTGGCGGTTCAAGGTAATGCTGCAAGTGATTAGACATTTAAACAAGGTGTAAGGTGATACATTCCCATATGAATTATTTGCAAACACAAATTGATGGATGACAATAGATCAAAATCCGTAATTCATATACGCCAGAGAAGTGCCCACCCCGCAAATTTACTAGCACAATCTTCTCATATAGCGACACTACTTACCTCGTAAGCCAGGGCAAATGTTCCCCAGTGTATTCCAATTGATTTCCTTGCTCTTAAGTCTTGGTGGATCTGGACAGCTTCCTCGGGATTCACGTGTTGACACTTCATGAACCATCTAGTGTGTACAAGAAATGTAAGCGATTTGAAATTTGAGGGGAACTGGAGGATTTAGGAAAAAAAGGAAAAGGAAAAGAAATTCCACAGTCTAAATAGTAAGGAAAAGAAATTGCTCTCAACTGAATTTAAAAAAAAAAAACTCTTATTGGGGACAAATAATGTTCAGACACATTCCCAGGGATAAAACAATCCTGCCACAGTAGTGTGAAAACAAAATATGCAATTGACCAATTTCCCCCAGCTCCTTTCGCAGAATTCAAGTAGGTCATTCCTAAATACAATACACATAAATGTTCGTAATGTATTGTTGAAAAAACGAAAGAATGGCCGAACAGACTGACAAATAAATAAATAAATAAATAAATAAATAAATAAATAAATAAATAAATAAATAAATAAATAAATAAATAAATAAATAAATAAATAAATAAATAAATAAATAAATAAATAAATAAATGTGCCACATACTGAGGTGTATATGCCCCTATTGATAATGCTGCCAGATCAAATGGTCCGTATCTCTTGCCAATCTGTTGAAACGCCTCGCAATATCCAGTGTCTCCACTGAAAAAGAACTTATAATGAGGTCCAATGACAGCCCAGCTGCCCCACAGAACTTTATTTAAATCAAACGCTGAGCGTCTGCACCAATGCTGGGCTGGAGTGAACACGAATTCAACTTTGGAGTCACTGAGTAAACAGCTCCCCTGCCACCAGTCAAGTTCAACCACATTGTGGCAGCCCACACTCTGCATCCACCCTAAAAGTCCCATTGGTACAAACCAACGCAAACTTTGGCCGAATCGGGAATTTAACTTCTTGACTGAGTTAACGTCTAAATGATCGAAGTGTGTGTGGCTGATGAGAACAGCGTCGATTTTCGGCAACTCGTCAATTGTACACGGTGGGTTACGGAAGCGTTTCGGTCCCATGAATTGCGTTGGTCCGCAACGTTTACTAAAGATGGGGTCGGTTAATATAGATACGCCATCGAACTGCACAAGTACTGTAGCATGTCCAATCCAGGTGACGCGAATACCAGACGGCGGAGCGTGTTTTATTTCATTCATATCTGGTATCAGTATTGGCAATGTTTTGTCCAACTCCTGTGTGGTAATATAAAGTGAAACTAGTCGTCATTATGTAATCTAACCCTTCATAGTTGCCAGCAAGTTTCGGCAAAATATTACAAAAGTTGTCCATGACTGGTACACCCATACTTACACGTTTTGAAGGTATGCCACTATAATTCGTAGAACAACACATCCATTTGCATACACCACGAACGCCGGGAATCTTGAAGGTTGGCCAGGGATTCTGAAATCGACCATTCTTCCTGACAGACTTCTGCAGGACGTCTGACTGTTCATCGTTTCGATCGCCAGATACACCACTGGTAGTTTCTAATGGGATTGGTTGTGGCTGCTCCTGGGGGTGGACGTCTGACATGTTGCACAGCTTCGCGTTGCTGAATGTATAAGAAACTAAGTGATAAAATAGTTATGGCTAAGCCAATCAAATTTCTGAGTGGCATACGTCTTACAAAAACCTAGGAGAGGTTCAAGACAATAATCCAAAACAGTGTTCAAACATTACCTGCCCAATACCTCCAAAACACGTGTACTAAGGACAGTGACAATGTAATGCTACCCAAAAATGCTGTTACCAATCGGCCCGTACAACATTATTGTTGCTGCAATCCATCTGCTGCAGTGTGTTTGTCGCATCATATAATACAAATACGCCCAGGCAAAGTTATGGAATCTACAGACGGTGTATGTTCTTTCTGTGATGGCAACGTAAAATAACGAAGTTGGTTGAGGCACAGTCGTTGAGGTTTAATTAAAAGTTCGCATCTACTATTATAATTTACTTGTGCAGTAGACTTCCGACAGATGATGAAGTTTTTTGAATAAATATAATAAATGAAGAAATTGTTCGACTTTGCGAATCGCAATGCATACAAGACATCGTGGAAATCGACCTTTGAGTTATTTCGGGTCCCCATTGCTCCCCACTGTGTAGCGTCCACAAAATAACATTCAAATGTGAGATTTTTGACTTAAAATGTGGCACACGTGATTGGTGAGCACAAGGGAAAGGCGATACACCGAAGTTGGCGACAATACTTTGAGTTAACTACTATCCACTGCAGATGTTAGAGGGACAATTTCGTTACTGTGCTATAGCCGTCTGCGGAAATCAAAATGGCGTGAGTAGAAGTATCTTGAAAAGCAAAATGCAGTCAAATCAAACAATAGAGTTTTGGAGAAGTGAATTTATTTGATCAATGTGGACTATATAAGTGATAAATTGTCCCAACACGCACCAATACCTCCCAATGGACCGATGTACGTAACACAGACTACTAATACTCGAAAATAAACAATTACACGCAGCCGGTACTTACCGAACATAAACCGGGCATCGTCATAACATGCCATGACCTCGACTGAACTTTCCCCGAGAACGTAATTCATTATGCAAACATATACCTTCACATACAGATACTAATAAATTCTATGACCGGGCAAGATCACGTCATGTTATACTGCTATTCATTAGACAGGGTACTGGGACCCAAGACTTCAGTCGACGAGGGTTGCAAAGGCATTCCCCCTTTATTTCGATATAAAGGTACCAGATTACATAAGAGTTTACAGATGCAGTAGAGGTTTTCAGGAAGTAAAATTCACACTAATTATTTTCATAGAAGAATTGTTTTAAACCTCGTCAAACTATATATTTCAGGTAAGCTAGTTATTCACACATATTAGAAATCGATGTTACATTAGATAAAACCTTCATATGGTCATGTGACTGCTAAGTAAATAAATCCGTTATTGAAGATTAGGTTTGTACTGTGAAGAAAGTGAAAGGGATTATACCACATTTTTTTTATAGAGAAATGGGTAACCTTTTCACATTCAGATAGTGAAATTCTTAGAAAGATATTTTAAAATATATCATACTTACTTGGCAGCTGTGTGATTTATTATTTATTTTAAATACATAAAAATGTGAAAATTTAGTCATCACAAACAATGCCTTATTATTTTTTACTATTTATGACAGAGCTCTCAAATTTCCATAGATCAATTAGATATAGGTTCTATAAAAAAAATCGTTTTGATTAACATGTGTCAAAACAAACTCAGCAGCCCCATTAAATATATTTAGTACTTAGTTTTAATGGACCGATACAAACGAATAAAAAATGAAAATCAATACAAAACATAAAATAGACGATATGCAATTATTACAACAATTATTTGTACATTAAGAGTGGGATTTATACTATTTTCTTTGTGTGTAGCAATACGCATAAAACCCCGGCCCGTTATTTTGAGTAAGTTAACGTATACATTTTACAAATTATTATAAAGCACATGCTAATACCTGAAGTATCTCCGCGTTCATGTACAATTCTAGACAACTGAAAGCAAAAGTAAATAAGCCTCCAGAATCTGTTTGAATTAGCAATTTCAAAATATTCACTAATAACAACTTTTCGATTTCATCGCGTGATTAGCTAATTATTCGATAGGACCACTTCACATAAGTTATAATCTTTTTTTTTTTTCATTATATCCAAAATCGTCCGGATGTAGTACTTATAAAACTGAAATAATTCAACTATACTGTTTACTTACTGACTAATATTATATCTTGTTGGGGGAATCGCTGAAATCGGGGGAACGAGTTGCTCCATGTTTCAACAGGTGGTTAAATGTATCGTAGCATTGCCAGAGCAGTTCACGCCAAATGTGCAAGAAGACAGATGAAGGCCTAATACAAATAATTTAAGTGCAAATTGTTACATACCTCTTTAGTCATGTGTACATTTGAATTGTCGACTGGTTGGCCAATTAGTGGAATCTTCTAATTATTATATCTCCACAAATGCGTTTTACTTATTATTTTATAAAGCTTCGACATCGGAGAAAACAGATCAATATATTACGTATGTTTTGTGTGTAATAGATTTTATGCGACAAAGTATTTCGTGAATAGTGGTCAAGTACAAAATCAGCATTGGCAATTGTGCGAGTAGATTTAAAATACTAGAATTCACTGCAGAGCCACCCCAAAACGCGAGAAACTGTCAACTGCAAATTAAACCGCGGATAATGCAATATATTCGAATTGTAAAAAATAATCATTCTCTGTGTGTGTTTTCATATGAATGCTGCTTCGATCTATATTAATATGTAAATTATTGATTCACAGATTGATACATTGATATTCAAATCAGTAAACCACTTGGTTTTAATCGTGTGTGAATTTATTTAAGTCTATTCGTAATGCTGTTGGGTTACTAATTTGAATACGAAAGTAACCGTGAAATTTTCCCAGTTTTCACACGAACATTAATAGATGAACGCTTAGAACAATGGTGCAGGTGACCTTGAGTGGCATAACCTCGTTAGTTGTATGCCTTCACACAGTATATGCATTCACTATGTTACGTGGTCATGATTACAGTGGTTCGCAAGAACAAATGAATTGTGACTTTGGACTACTAGTTTATCTGTTTATAACTTATTTTTATTTTTCACAAAAAAACACCATAAATGGTGAAGGATAAATGCCAAGAAGAATTCCTTTTAAAACAAATTACTTTTACCGGATTTAAGATAAGATGGATACAAGACTATATTGCGCCAAGTCAATTCGATGACACGTTGTACAGGGGCACTCTTGGATAACAATGTCAATGTTCGGAGACGAGTTTTCTTTTTAACGCGTTACAGATATAGAATCCCATCACCTCTCAATCTGTTTACAAACAGTTACTTGCTTTATCGGTATGTACATGGGACATTGAGAATACTTTGAAAGGGGGTTAAAATATATTTTATTATATTCACAAAGAATTGCTAGAGGCCAAATTTCAATAATTTATTGAAAACAGGAACAAAAAAGTGGGATGGTAACTAATACCAGTTACATGTATTCCATGCTAGTTTTGAAGTGATATATTCTTAGTATTGTTTCTCAAATGGAAACACAACATGTAATGTTTGACAGTAAACATAAATAAAACAGAATATTACCGTCTAAAGAAACAGGATTTATTTCGGCAAGATCAGAGATCTTCCTTGTAGATTAATATTCAGTGACTAGGACAGTTATCGACAGGAAGTCGTACATAGTATCCTTGCTACTATCAGGGGGAAAATCTTCTCTCTGGGGTTCTCCACACGTGCCAGGGGGGAATCTCGTCTCGTCTCTATAACTCGTCCCCTTGAGGTGCGGGATCGGGAAAGTCACTTATACTTTACAGTCAAATAAGACACACACAACGAAATACGTTTCAACTCTCGTCTTAGTCGGTCTTTCGAGCACTCTATAAGACACAGCGCCCTGGGGAAAAATCCCCAAGACTATCGCAAGGCTGACCCAAGACTCTTTTAGACTGCGTCAAGGCTCGCCCCAAGTCTCTCCAGGACTGGACTCTCGACTGCGTCTATCGTGGAGTACTCCCCAAGACCAACTCAAAACTCTCTTTATTCATTTTCAAAACCTTAACCAATTACAATACAGTAAAAAGACTCTAGGGCGTAACCTTCAAAAATCACTGAATACGTCATATCTTTTGATTAATCGTTCACTACATTAATAACTACGAATACCAACTGTCAGAAATAGTCTGAATAGCTACGGTTATCTGGTAATTAGTTCCAAATCACTGAGCCAAGTTCCGTCCAAAACTTCAAATTGGCCTAAACGATGACAGACATAACACAGCAATTCGCTAATAATCAACTAATTATGTCGGTCAACAGATACGCAAAGACAAATTCATGACACTACCAACAAGAACTATCAATAAAGCTTACAAACGTGTAAAGTTTATTACACAAATTAGACACGGTTTCAATCTCTTGCTGATGTGCTACTGTAATAACAAGTACCTTTGAGGGTAATATACCAGTGACGATGACCAGCAACATAAATATTATTCTGTAATGAGGTCAGAATATATGGTCATGTACAATTGTTGTCTTAGAGGTTTGACATGCCTTTGGTTTTCAAGTCCCTTCTGGCATCTCAACATATGGAATGTATTCTTTGAAATGATTAATTCATGACACATCACTATATACCGCGTACATTCAATTACATACATCTTCTTTGATGTCATTTCCTGTTTTCACTTTCAACCTTAAAATAAAAGACGAGTCTCTCCGTGTTTTGCGGTGAAGAACTCGTCATTAGACAGTTGTATTTCTTCTAGGGCCTCTCTCAAAAGCTGCTGTGGCTCCATATATTGCTGGAATCAAGTAAAGTTATCAATTAAGTAGGTATATGCAGATTATATGTAATGTACATTATAATTGTTAAGAGCCAATGTCATTAAGATAAATATAAACAAATTGGGGTAATCACACAGTCTTTAGACAGATAACAATTCGAAATATCATGGGATATAGTAAAATGTTCATTTTTGTATTGATTTTTATGGTGAAAGTATTCGTTATATCATGTTGCTCGGTGACATCAGCTGAAAAAACAAAAGATTGGTATTTTATTTAGGGAGTGCCAATGTGATAACATGTTTACAGTTAGTGAAAAAGTTATCTCGTCATGTGGCCAAAATGTAAATGCGGCTCAAACTACAAGTAATTTGATACATTTCAAAAGTTTTTTTTTTAATAGACCATTTTTCGTTCTGCAAAATTCCGCGTTATGCGTGAAATCGAACGTAAAACAGGACAAACAAAGGTCATAGCGTCGCAACGTAAGTATTTTTGCAATACGCGTGCTCACAGTTATCGGAAAAACGTAGATTGCTTGCACGATTTTGTGTTATTCTAAAAACATGTCAATTAAAAAGACTATATGAGTAGGTATAAGAAGATTACATATTACGTCAGACAACTAATAAAATTAGTATATAAAAATAAACATAGTTGAACTCTGGTGACCTTGCCCTTTGTTATATAATATAATTCCCTTTATCATAGTTTGTTTCAATATAAATATGCATTGTCATAATTAATTTTGAATACAAACAAGTTTTGGGGTTGAAACAACAGTGGGGAATCAGTCTACCGAATGTCCTTAAAAGATGTAAATATCTTACAAAAACATTGGTGCCTTATTTGTTTAATTATTTTAAGGGACATAATTTCCAGCTTTATTCAAAGTAATTCAGATATTTTAGTGTAAAAACAAATGTCTCATTGCAAAAAAAAGTGCTGCATTTAGATGTGAATAGATTCATAAAACATGCAAGATAACAGAAAATTTTAGCTGGCTTTAGTCCAAGTATTTTGTACAGGTGTCTGTCAAAAATTAATGATTCACTGAGACAAATATGAACTGTCTCATTGTGTGACTACTGTATTATATGAAAAGTAAAAAAAAAACACCCTTTATGAATAGCTA